GGAATAACTTTGGGGAAAACTTACTTTTTGTAACTGGGCATGTATGATACCTGTAACATATTTACCTTTATCCTCCACCACTAAATGTAAACTCCACTGGGACAGGGACTTTGTTTTGCTTGTCATAATGTAGACAGACATTCACAAACACTTGTTGACTGTTCATCTTCACCCCACACACCTGGTCCCTTTCTCATTAAATGACAGGCGTCCTGCCTGGTGTTTTCATAAAAAATTCCCTTTGATTCCTCTGGCTCCCTTTGTTCCTTCCTCCTCAATATGCTTTGAATCCATTCACTTCTCTACCTCCCTACTTGCTATGGGCTTGACTGATGTGAATATCAAATAATCCGAATTATAGCATAATCCTCTCTCCCAACTAGTCTCTATAGCCCTTCAATTCATTCTCAGTACTACACCCAAAATTAACTCTTAATGACTCTAATCACCTTTCCTCTGCTTAAATCCTTCAGTGTATTCCTCATGCCCTGATCAATCTAGATAGATCTTAGATCAACATCAAAATTTTTGACCCGGCCCTAGCCAGTTTGGCTCAGTGGAGAGAGCATCGGCCTGCAGACCGAAGGGTCCCAGGTTCGATTCTGGTCAAGGGCACAGTTACAGGCTCCTCTCTGACCCAGGCTTGTGCAGGAGGCAACCAATCTATGTGTTTCTCTCACATCAATATTTCTGTCTTCCACTCTCTAAAAATCAATGGAAAAATATCCTCGGGTGAGGATTGAAAAAAAAAGAAAGAAAATATTTTTTAAAAAATTTTTTAACCTCATCTACAAGGTCTAGTTCAAGCATGTCAAACTCAAAGGCCAACACAGGCCAAATAAACAAGGTTTAAGTTTATGTGGGCCGCAAAAAAACAAAAGCTTCAATTTTCATAGAAACGTAGGTGTATTTTGATAGAGACATGCTGAATACAAAGGGCTGAAATAAATGAGTAATCGTTAACATAAAATAATAGAACATTTAAGTAAAAATATTTTTCTTGAACATTAACTTAACAGACACTGAATAACTTAGTATTAGTGGAGAGAAATAGTGCGCCTTTGCGTAAAGCACATAAGGGAGATGAATGCAACATGATTATAGTAATCAGTCATTAGCTAACATTGTGGTTTGTTATTAATAATTATGTATAACAGGATATTGTAAAAATTAAGTTACAAAATTTTTATTAAAACGTTCCTTACATACTGTTACATTGGCTGGGCCACAAAAATATTTGTTGTGGGCTTGACGCGCTTGGTCTAGTGAAACTCCCCGACCTCATCTGGCCATTGCCCCTTGGACTCTGGTCACACTGAACCTCATTTCCTTGAATGGGATGCTCCCTCCTTTCTCATATTATGGAGTTTAAACTTGCCATTTTTTCCACCTTAAATATATATATATATGTATATGTGTGTGTGTGTGTGTATGTGTGTGTGTGTGTGTGTGTATCCAGTGCAGTGCTAGAACCATATCAGGACAGCTTGACTGCTAAATTTTCAGGAATCTTTGCTGATTGCTAAACTATTGGGTCATGGAATCCACCATGGAAATCAGCAGATGCTACAAATCAGGGTTTTGGGTGAGGAAGGGATATCAGTTGTTAAACATTTAGCAACTAACCTGCTACTCACCTTTCTCATCTAAACTTAAATGTTCTTTCTGTATTAACCTTTCTTCCCAACATTATTAGATTAGGTCTGCCTATTATGTACTTTTATAACACCCTGCACTTCATAATACTCATCGCAGGGACTGTGTCCATTTGATTTTGGAATTGGGAAGTCAAGTTGAGTCAATTAGTTGAGTAGTGGGAGCAGCAGCCAGATACAGAAGAATAACTGGTAGAGAAGGGAAACAAGAAGCTATTTAGGAAAAGTGTGGTGGCTTGAAAGGAATGTTGAAATAAGAGAAATATTTATTGCAACAATCTAAGCACTAAGAACAATTCATAGAGTCAACAATCTCTATCCCCTACCTTCTCCACACACCCCACCCCCCTCCTGCACAACACTACAACCACCACTTCTGAGGTAACTATTAATGTTTTGGTATATGTTCTTCCATACTTTTCTTTATTTTCTTATAAATAGAGACTATATCTTGTTTTTTTGTTTGTTTTTTGTTTTTTATCATACATATTCTTAAACTATTCTTTTTCTACTCAAAACGCTCATGGTTTTCCTTCAGAGTCATTTTGGTATATGTTCTTCCATACTTTTCTTTATTTTCGTATAAATAGAGACTTTATCTTGTTTTTTTGTTTTTTGTTTTTTAACATACATATTCTTAAACTATTCTTTTCTACTCAAAACGCTCATGGTTTTCCTTCAGAGTCAGTGCAGCAGATGTTTATTGAGTAACTGCTCTGTGCCAGGCCCCACTCTAGACCCTGGGAATATAGCAGTTAGTAGGAAAGACAAGGCTCCTACTCCTGTGGAGCTTACATTCTAATATGGACTCTCTTTCCAGTAACTGCATGCCACCTAGTAAATGTACTGCATGTTATTCCACCTTTCTTATATTGATGGACATTGAACCTGTTTCTAGGTTTTGACACTACAAACAATACTATAAAAATTTTATACATAAATCTTAATCTATTGGTGATTTTATTTATGCAGGACACATACCCCAAAGTGGAATTTGTTGGATCATAAGATATGCATGTTTTTAATGTTCAAGATTAATATCCAGTTCCTTCTCAAAAGGTTATAAAAATTCGTACTTCCACCAACAGTGTGTGAGAGTACATAGTTCCTGGTACTTCTGCCAAAGTTACCAGTCTTTAAATCTTGCCAGTGTAATGGGTAAAAGTGATGTCTCTTAGTTTTTATTTTCATTTCTCTAACTATTCTTTAAGTTGAGCATATTTTTGTAAATTTATTGGCTATTTGTATATTTATACGACTTTCTATAGCCTTTGTCCATGTTTAGTTTTTTATAGTTTTTTAGTGAGAGAGAGAGAGAGAGAGAGAGAGAGAGAAACATTGATGTGATAGCAAAACATCAATTGGCTGCCTCCTGCACACCCCCTACCCCCACACTGGGGAAAAACTGGACATGTGCCCTGACCTTTTGGTGCACAGGAGGAAGCCCAACCAATTGAGCCACACCAGCCAGGGATATTTTAATTTTAATTTTAATTTTAATTTTTTTTTTAATCCTCACCCAAGGATATTTATTTCCATTGATTTTTAGGGAGAGTGGTAGGGAGAAGGAAAGAGAGAGAGAAACATCGATGTGAGAGAAACACATCGATTGGTTGCTGCCTGCATGAGCCCCGATCAGGGCCAGGGCCAGGGAGGAGCCTGCAACCGAGATATGTGCCCTTGACTGGAATCAAACCGGGGACCCTGCAGTCCGCAGGCCGACGCTCTATCCACTGAGCCAAACTGGCTAAAGCTTTAATTTTTATATACTTATTGTTTTGAGAGAGACAGAGAGGAACAGAGAAACAGTGATGAGAGAGAGAAACATTGACCAGTTGCCTCCTGCACGCACCCCGACCAGGGATCCCGTAACCTTTTGGTCTACAGGGTGAAGCTCCAACCAACTGAGCTACACAGGCCAGGGCCCTTTGGGCAGGTTTAAAAAGCCCCTTTTTATTTATTTATTATTATTTTAATATATTTTTATTGATTTTGTTTTTATTGATTTTTAGAGAGAGAGGGAGAGGTAGAGAGAGAGAAACATTGTTAGAAACATTAGTGATGAGAGAATCATTGATCGGCTGCCTCCTGCACTCCCCACACTGGGGATTGAGCCTGCAACCTGGGCATGTGCCCTGACGGGGAATCAAATTGTGACCTCCTGGCTCATAGGTCAGTGCTCAACCACTGAGCCATGCTGGCCAGGCAATCAGCCCCTTTTAAGAAAATCTTAACGATTGGGGATGTCAGCCAAAGATTAAAAAAAAAATCATATTTGTTGCAAATATTTTTCTCCCAATCTATTGTTTTTCTTTTATTGCTTATCATAGATAACATTATTTTTACTGACTGTCCAGTACCTTTTGAACATACATATGATTTGGGGGTAATTTTACTTTTAGGAAGTACAAAGTGGAACCCAAAACACTTGCCTCCTTTGCATTCCAAGCACAAACCTGGGGTCCAGGTTTACCAATCGGACTTAGCAGTGAAGACCTGAGATTTCAAAGTGAGCAACTTAAGGAAAGAGGTGCACAGAGAATCCATTTCACTGGCAACAGCGGTGGCAGAGGCGTCCAGGTCTCAGGCAGGGCAGTCCTGGCAGGAGCGGCCTTAGTGAGGAGAAGGGATGGTGAAAGCTTCCTTTAGTGCTTGACGGGGTTGCAGCAAGGATGACTGTTTGTTTCTTCACCAGGCAGTTCTACAGAGGGTTATGGGTTGTTCCCAGGGCCCAGCCGTTAGCTGATTCTCTCCACCCCCTGAAAATGATATGGACTGCCTGATGAAGTTTCTTTTCTGAACTTTTCAGCCAGAGTCAGCTGCTGGTGCTTGAAACTAAAATTCAACTACTTTATTTTCCTTTGCCATATGGAAAACTTTCTTTTTTAGGACGTCAAATCTATGACTTACTTATGGTGCTCCCTGCATAGATTTAAATTGACAATCACTTTTAGATTTAGATCTAGTTGGGGAGGGGTGGTGGTGATTACTAAGACAATTAATTGGGAAAGCAAGATAGAAGGAAAACATTATATAGCCTCCTCCTTTTCACTGTAAAACATTACATAGCCTCCTCCTTTTCACTGTACATCATTATTTTCTATTTATTAAATTGAGTATCAAAGATGTCTATACTTGGACATAGTGTTGTTCAAACTCTTCCAACTTGAAGGTAACAAAATTTCACTTCTTTATAAAGCATTTATTACTTAGACATTTTATTGATTTAAAATTGTCTTTCCCCAATTGAATTAAGTGAGATTTTACTGTAGTTATTTTAGAAGTTAATTCTTATTATTGTTTATAATAAAGTATCTAACTTGTTTCCTCAAATTTGTATTTTAGGCTTTTTTCAAAGACCCAAATGTTATTCCCACTTTGAAGTTACTTTCAGATTCTGGACAGTGGATTACATTAGGTAAATAAAATTTTTTTTATATTTTCAGATGACTATTTTACTGTCATAACAAAATTTTGTCCCAGGAATTTTTATTAAAATACATATTGTGAATAGTCATTGTTTGGTAACATCAAGGTCGAGTATGAAAGCTGTGCCAGGCCTGACCTGCATCTTTTCCTGGCTTAGCACATAAGAGCAGTTTTTCTCTTTTCATTAATTTGGAAAGTATTTATTTTGCACTTTCCATGGACTCTGCCAGATACAGGGAACATTAAGATGAACAAAAGAAAACCTGTACTCAAATATTTGACATGTGGAAAAATATGTGCAATAATCTATCACTGGGGCTACCAAAGCATTGGGAGCAAAAGGAGGGAAATGGTCAATTGTACACAGGAAGAAAGGGTCAGGTAAGATGCCACTGGTTTGAGGATGCTTAGGCAAAATCTCATTGGGGGCAGGGTAATGGATTTCTGATGGGAACTAGCCACTCTGGATCATCCCAGAGTGGAAGGGAGAGGGAGAGAAAGATAGAAACATCAATGATGAGAGAGAATCATTGAATCTGTTGCCTCCTGCATGCCCCACAAAGGGAATCGAGCCCGCAACCCAGGCATGTCCCCTGACCAGGAATCAAATCGTGACCTCCTGGTTCATAGGTCAATGCTCAACCACTGAGCCACACCAGCCGGGCTATGGATCATTTGTTGAAAAATAATAATACCAACATGGCCAACATTGCTCAGTGGTTCTATTACTGGTCAGGGCACATGCCTGGGTTGTGGGCTCGATCCCCAGTGGGGGGCATGCAAGATGCAGCCAATTAATGATTCTCATCATTGCAATTTCTATCTCTCCTCCCTTCCTCTGGAAATCAATGATAAAAATATATTTTAAAAATAAAAAATAATAATTCTGTAGCCATAATAAACTTAATTTAAAAACAATAATAATATGTTAAATCTTGGAAAAGTCTTAAATTCTCAAAAGAAGAACTTTATATAGCTAATGTTTTCATGGTACATTGAAATACAGCTAGAAATCTTTAAAGAAAATTACCAAGACACTTAGCAACATTCAAATCTCTAAATAACTCTCAGGTCAGGGACTAAGAGTGTTAATAGAAGACTATTTTGAAAACAAAAACATGAGAAATATATGTTTTTTAAAATATCTATTTTATTTTTAATTCTAAAATTAAAGTTGACATACAATATTATTTTAGTTTTAGGTGTACATTATTTTAGTTTTAGATGATTAGACATTTATATAACTTATGAAGTGATCCTCCTGATAAGTCTAGTACCCATGTGACACCAAACATAGTTATTACAGCATTATCGACTATTCCTAATAGTGTACTTTACAGCCCCATGACTGTTTTTATGACTGGCAATCTGTACTTCTTAATCCCTTCTCCTTTTTCACCTATCCCCTAAACCCCTCTCATCTGGGCAACCATCAATTTGTACATGAACACTATATTTTAAATTTTAGATTGAGGCCTCTTAACAATCCATTTAGAAGGAAAATCTGGTTGATAATGTGAATTTGTGCTCAAGAACAAGCAAGTTGATTTTAAATTGGATGGGGTTGTTTCAGTGAATTCTTACATTGCATTTTTATGGAATTCTATTAGCCTTGCACAAAAATAACTTTTCTTGGTATTAGTCAAAAACAAGATTACAAACAGTTCATGATGTTAGACTTAGTGGGTCAGATTTTATTGCTTTTGGCTAAAGGACTACTGCAAAATTTATAGAGTAAAAAGCTGGTACAGCATGATCTTCAGATTACTTACAAAGTTAAACAGTATCTGACCAAATGTATTTACCAATTCAAAATCTTCAAAAGGAAATAATTAGAGCCATGTATCACTGTGTTTATAAAGCATGTTTACAGTAACCAGTCAATTCATTTACAAAAATAAGGTTTGTTGCGAAAAATGTTCAACCTTCCCCTGTGTTGGGTACATACTTCACAAAACACTCACTTTTTTCTAAATTTTAAAAAAGGCATTGCAAAAGGAGAGGTTCTAAAACCCACATGCTCCTGACAGAATCAATTAGAAGTACTCTGAAAAACAGGGCAGAGGAGGTAGCCCTCATTTCAGAAGCAGACGTTTCTAGTGGATTGCTAGTATTCTTCCATTAGCCTGTTTTTATCTCCCCCTACTTACTTTTCTTCTTCTGAAATATGGTCTTCTCTCTGATTTTCCTCTGGGGGCCTTGGTAAACGAAGAAACGGCTTTTTAAAGTGAGAGAGAACATTCTTCTAGCAAGTGAACCAATGTTAAAGAAAGTGAGATGGAACCTCCTTCACTACTGGCTGCACTGCTTGATTGCCAGTGAGTGCTGTTTCATCCTCTCAGCCAGCTGCCATTGCCCCCTTCATTTAGACACAGTTTGCCCTTTCTTGGCTTACATATAATGGGTGCTTTCTATGTGCTCAGCTAAGAGCATCATATACATTATTAATTCTCAAAACAACTCTGAGAGAGGTATTATTATATGTTTTTATTTCACAAATAAAGAATCAGAGGCATGAGCTAAGTAATTCACAGTTTTGCCCAGCTGACTGCATAGAGTTGAGATTCAAATCCAGGCTCCAGAATCCAAAACGTTGACCACTGCACCCTCCTACCTCTGCCCCTTCCACATTAATCGGTTTGCCAGAAAAGCGCCAACTTGGACACAAAACAAGACACACAGTGTATTATAATGCCAGGTGAAAAATAGTACATTTTTAATTTTCTGTATGATCATAATGGTGCATTATCCTATATAATAAAGAGGTGCTATGCAAATTGACCATCATGCCCTCGCATAAGATGGTCGCCCCCATGTGGTCCAAGATGGCCGGCAGGGGAGGGCAGTTGTGGGCGATCAGGCCAGCAGGGGAGGGCAGTTAGGGATGACCAGGCCTGCAGGGGAGGGCTGTTGGGGGCGACCAGTCCGGCAGGGGAGGGCAGTTGGGGGCAACCAGGCTGGCAGGGGAGGGCAGTTAGGGGCGACCAGGCCATCAGGGGAGAGCAGTTAGGGGCGACCAGGCCGGCAGGGGAGGTCAGTTGGGGGGGACCAGGCCAGCAGGGGAGGGCAGTGGGGGCTATCGGGCCGGCAGGGGAGGGCAGTTGGGAATGATCGGGCTGGCAGGGGAGGGCATTTGCGGGCGATTGGGCCAGCAGGCGAGGGCAGTGGGGGCGATCGGGCTGGCAGGGGAGGGCAGTTGGGGGCAATCGGGCCGGCAGGTGAGCAGTTAGGTGTCGATCAGGCTGGCAGGGGGGTGGTTAGGGGGTGATCAGGCTGGCAGGCAGAAGCGGTTAGGGGCAGTCAGGCAGGCAGACAGGGGAGCGGTTGGGAACCAGCAGTCCTGGATTGTGAGAGGGATGTTCGACTGCCAGTTTAGGCCCGATCCCTGTGGTATCGGGCCTAAACCGGCAGGCGGACATCCCCCGAGGGGTCACAGATTGGAGAGGGTGCAGGCTGGGCTGAGGGACACCCCCCCCCAGTGCACGAATTTCATGCACCGGGCCTCTAGTATATCTTATAAATGCTAGAGACATAGTGTAACCAAATTCCTACATAACAGATAGCATGTGCTATGGACTGAATTGTGTCCAAAATTCTTATACTGAAGCCTTAATCTTTAATGTGGTGGTATTTGGAGATGAGGCCATTAGGATATAATTAGGTTTATATGAGGTCTGAAGGGGTCCTCATAATGGAATTAGTGCCCTTATAAAAGGAGGAGGAAATAACAGAGCTCTCTGCAATGTGTGGACAAAATCATCTGCAAACCAAGAAGAGAGAATCACAGAGGTGGAGGAACTGCCCTATGGATCTGGAATCAAATCAGCCAGCACCTTGATCTTGGGCAACTCAGCCTCCAGAACTGCGAGAAATAAATGTCTGTTGTTGTACCACCCAGTCTATGGTTTTTGTGATAGCAGCCCGATCTAACTCTTACAGACTTTGGAAGTGGAGTGCTGCTGTAGCAAATACCTAAAAAAGTGGAAGTGGCTTTGAAACTGTGTAATGGAAATGGGTATAAGCTGGACAAGTTTTGAGGTGCATGCTGGAAATATGGATGTTAGAGTTGATTCTAGGAGGTTTCAGATGGAAAGGAGGAACATGTTATTGGAAACTGGTGGAAAAGCAATCCTTGTCATAAAATGGCAGAGAACTTGGCTGAACTTTTTTAATATTTTGTGGATAGTAGAACTTACAAGTGATAAAATTGAAATTTAACTGAGGAAACTTCTAAGCAAAGTGTCAACTTAGTTCCTCTAGAATGCTTATAGTAAAACTAGGGGCCCAGTACACGAATTCATGCACCTTGAAAGGAACTGTGGGCCACGAGGCTGCGGTAGGCACAGGGGCAGGTCTCGGCCCATCCTCTGTGCCCCCCAGCCCCTCCAGTGAGTGGCTTGTATTGGTGCCCTGTCTGCCGGCAGCCCCGCTCCTGCTGCCGCTGCTCTCACACACTGATGGCACCGGCCCTGCTCACACCCGCTGACAGCATGAAATGATTGGGGCCAGCACCATCAGCAGGTGCGAGTGGTGGCTGCTGCCTCGATCACCCCTCAGGAGCAGGGGGAGGTGGAGAGGCCCTCAGGGGCAATCAGGGCTGGTAGCCTCTGCTCACACCTGCTGATGGTGCCAAGTGATTGGGACCGGCACCGGGCAGGGCACCGGCAGCAGGTGCGAGTGGCAGCTCCAGCACCGGCTGCAGGTGCGAGCAGGGCCAGCGCTGATAGTGGGTGCAAGCGGTGACTCTATCACTGGCAGCGGGTGCAAGCAGGGCCAGCACAGGCAGTAGGTGCGAGTGCCGGGCAGGACCATGATGCGCAGGAGCAAAGAATTTTCAGTAACCACCAGAGGCTGGCCCCAAGACAGTGACCAGTACCCCGCCTTGGCCTGGTGCCCCCGCTCACCTGCTCCACCATCCCGCCACAGCCAATGCCCGCCATGTTCCCGCACATGCCCCTGATGGTCAGCGCACATCATAGCAACCAGTTGTTTGGTTGTTCTGCCATTTGGTCTATTTGCACATTAGCCTTTTATTATGTAGGATATGAAAGGAGAGCAATGAATTGAACACGTAATTGTTAAGCAGAAAGGCACCAGAACTTGAAGATTTGGAAAATTCTCAGCATATTCATATTGCAAAAAATGAGAAAGCTTGTTCTAAAGAGAACACTAAGAGTGTGACTGAGCTACCATTTGATAAAGAGATCACGGGTTCAATTTATGGACTTAACTGGCCATTTCAACAGAAGCCAGAAAATGAGATGGGGATTGTACTAGCAAAGATACTGCCAGTTTGAACAAAAGGAAACAGAAAAAAAAGACAAAATAAAGATTGTCAAACATCTTAGATCCTACAGGAACATACCATAGAGCCATTCGGCTGCAAACATGCTCTATCTATAATAATAAAAGCATAATATGCTAATTAGACCAGATGTCCTTCCAGACAACTTTCCGGATGAAGCCAGGGCTTTGAGGGAAGCCGGTGCCGGCAGCCAGGGGAAGGAAAACCTACTTTTGCACGAATTTCGTGCATCGGGCCTCTAGTTTCTCAATAAAAGAAAACTGAGAATGCAATTCAGAGATCATCAGAGCCACCCCCTCAGTTTCAACAACACACTTCACCTTGAGGAATCCCAGAGGTGGAGCCACTGCCCTGTGGATCTGGAAGGCAGTGCATTGAACCAAAAGGATTAGTCTTGGGGCTTAAAATCTAATGGAATTTGCCTTGATAAATTTTAGGCTTGCTTGGAACCATCATTCCTCCCTTCTTTCCTATTTCTCACTTTTGAAATGGAAATGTCTATCCCTATGCCTGTATCACCATTATATTTTTAGAAGCGCGTAACTTGTCTGGTTTCACAGGTTCATAACTGGAGAGGAATTTTGCCTCAGGATAAATCATACCTCTAGTTTCACCCATACCCGATTTAGATGATATTTAGATAAGACTTTGGACTTTTAGAGTTCATGCTGGAATGATTAAAACTTTTAGTGCTGTTGGAATAAAATAAATGTATTTTGCATATGAGAAGGACATGAATGTTGGGGTCCAGAGACAGAATGCTATGGACTGAATTGTGTCCCTTCAAAATCCATATGTTGAAGTCCTAACCTTACCCATCGCCTCATCTAACCCTAATTACTTTCCAAGGGTCTAATGTCCAAATACTGTTACATTGGGGGTTGGGGTTTCAACATATTAATTTTAGAGGGACACAATTCAGTCCATAACAAATGCTATTTCTATGCCTCAGATTAAGTAGTTTGTATTTAATTACCTTCTCCCATAATCCAAACCCGTCACTCTTCAGATCAGAGCTCGGGTACATTTGTTAAAATGGCAGGTTGCCCAATGTTTGTCTCTCATTCTGTGGCCACCAACCCATTTTTGAAGACTGTCTTGCTCTCCGCTGCTCTTGTTCTTTGACCTTTTAATATTGCTTAGACCTACTCTATCATTTTCTGTGGGCTTTTCCCTTTATTCCCCCAGAAGATTTTGCCCTGAAAACAAAAAGAGCTTTTCTTAGCAGCCTTGCTTTAGAAATTACTGAGTATCTGGTTACTGACTCTGGGCATCCTTCTTGCCTTTACACTAGCCCAGCTCAGGTCCTAGCAGGATTCTAGGTGGTCAGCCAGAGGGAGGAAGTGCAAATACTTGCCACTATTACTCCTCTGAACCTCAAGCGACTTCTTGGGTTAAAGATCTGGCAAATGTATGAGGAGAGGACACACCAAAAACCACCATGCCGCCATCTACAATCTCCATAGAGCTTTGAAGAAAGAAGACCAACACCCCTCTATATCTGAGTGAGAGCATGTGTATATGTGAATGCATAAAAGAGGGGAATTGAACGATTCATTAAGGAAATAATAAAAATACTCACTTTAACCTTTATGTATTTCTGTAATTTAATAGAACTTCTAATAACAGAAAATCCATCCCTGAAAGACATATTCAGGAAATAAGTGGGGAGGGGGGAGAGCTAGAACTACAAGAGAAAAAGACAAAACACCATGATTTCACATTTCTCTAATCCCAAACTTGTGATAACTTGATTGGGGCCTGGTTTGAAATATACCTTAAAAAGGAAATTTTTTTGCAATAAACACTGTAAAGGAGATCACAATGAAGAAATTTTTAAATGGAAAGGGACATTTTTGAGACATCCTCAATGACTTTAGAAATACCCATTAGTTATATTAATTAAAATTTTGTAATATGCATTAAGCATAATATAAATCAAAGTCATAAAGTACTTCCTGTATTTTTACAGGCAATTCTGATATGTGCATTAAAACTGATCTAAAAACCTCCTACTACACACAAAACAATTTTTATTTTAAAGCACTTTCTAATTTACATATCCTTCATCTAGGCCTGAAATGGTGAAATTTTGTTATAAACTTTCAATGATTTTTTTTAATCCTCACCGGAGGATATTTTTCCATTGATTTTAGAGAGCGGAAGAGAGAGGGAAAGACAGAAACATTGATGTGAGAGAAACACATAGGTTGGTTGCCTCCTATACATGTCCCCGACCAGGGCTCAGGCCAGGGAGGAGCCTGCAACCAAGGTACGTGCCCTTGACTGGAATCAAACCCAGGACTCTTCAGTTGGCAAGCTGATACTCTATCCACTGAGCCAAACCGGCTAGGGCATAAACTTTTAATGATTAATAAAAATGAAAAGCTGTAAAATAATAAAATTCTTAAACTAATGTATCTTTTAAAAGTATCAAAACATACCTGATGTCATTACTTTGAACCTCTGCATAGTAATGCTTATTTTGGAAATAATTGCAAATATTAAACTAATTTTTATATGTCTATAAAATACCTTTTTTCAGGAACTGAAGTGAAAAAAATTGAAGCCATAAATGTTCCTTGCACACAGCTTTCAATGTCATTTTTTAAACGGTTATACAATGAAGATATTGTACGAGACAGTGGACATATTGTTAAATGTTTAGATTCTTTTTGTGATCCCTTTCATATTTCTGATGAGTTACGAAAGGTAAGTACAGAATTGCTTAATTTCACAATAAAATTTTATTTCATAAAATGCTTCATGTCAAAAACTTTTGCCTGTCTAAAACCCACAAAATACCTCTTAGCAATGAATAATGACCAGTACATTGGTAGGTTTCTTGGATGAGACTTTTACCAAAACTTAATTACTTGTGTATTTCAGTAGTTCTCAACTGGCTGCTACTGGCATCTAATGGGTTGAGGCCAAGGATGCTGCGAAACATCATACAATACACAGGACAGCCCCTCACAACAAAGTTATCGGGCCCAAAATGTTCAGTAGTGTAAGGTAACAAAACCCTGACCTATGTAATAGATGGCTGGTTTTCTTCAATGTGGGGCTCGTAACATACCAAACGAGTATTTAAAAACATAGCTCGAGTAAAAGAATATTTTTATCTCATCTCTCAGATTTTTTTAAAAGCCATTTGATTAAGTTAACTTTTGTTTTCGTGTGGGGTATTGAACCTGGAATCAGAAGACATGGATGATTTTACCTAATTTTTGAGTTGTGTACAAGATGATAACCATAGGTAAATCATTCAATATGTTGGGCCTCAAGATCTTACCTGTAGAGATTAAAATGTCCATTCTAGGCTTTGGGCGGGTAGCTCTGTTAGAGTGTCATCCTGATATGCTAAGGTTGCAGGTTTGATCTCGGGTCAGGGCACATACAAGAATCAACCGATGAATGCATAAATAAGGGGAACAACAAATATCTCTCTCTCTCCCTCCCTCCCTCCCTCCCTCCCTCTCTCTTTCTCCCCTTTCCTTTCCATTCCTCTCTCTCTAAAATCAATAAATTTTTTATAATGTCCATTCTACCTTCTTCCTGAAATCATTGAGAAAAATTAGTGGAGAAAGCATTTAAATACACTTTTTAAAAAGTATAAAATGCTGTTGAAATATTATTTTAATTATTGAGAAAGAGTATTTACAAAGTGGTTACAAATTAGGGCTTTGTTATCAAATAGACATAGGTTCAAATCCAGGCTCTGCCACTTTATAATTGATAATGTCTATAAGCCTCAGTTTCTTTATAAAATGGGAATAATGTACGAATTATGAAAGATAATGCATTTAAAGTGCTTAGCACAATGCTTGGCACTTAGTAAGCTTTTGATATTCTTAATAATTACTATTCTTATTCTACATTATGAGAATGTGCAAATCTAATGTGTTGCAGGTCCATATAGAAATGAAGTAGGGAAGCTACTGATGTACCATAATAGACACAGCAATGCTGTCTGTAGGAGACCAGGAGGCATCCAGCTTGTCTGTACATTGCTCTACACTAGTACAATACTTAAGAGAACTCTTAGTTTAAGAAAATAAAATGAACTAATTGAGAATAACCAAACTCATCCAATTGAATGAAACTACATATAGTTTGGTCTTAAGTGAAGTATATTTATCTATACTAATAAAAGAGTAATATGCTAATTAGACCTGGGAGACCTTCCAGACAAAGACGGGCTTGGCCAGCCTGCAAACTGCCCCCAAATGGCCCTCAGCCCCTCGCCCAGGCTGGCCACGAGCCCCCCAGGGACCCTCACCCCGATGGGGGCATTGACAGCCTGAAAACAGCCATCAGCTCCTTGCCCAGGCTGGCCACGCCCCCCAGCAGGGACCCTCGCCCCCATAGGCCATCAGCCCCTCACTCAGGCTAGCCAGACCTCCCAGCAGGGACCCCCACTGCAGAGGCCTGCAAACCACCCCAGCCCCTCGCCCAGGCCAGCCCTGCCCCCCAAGGGGACCCCCACCCTGATCCAGGACCCCCTTCAGGGCAGACCAGCTGTCCCCACCCATGCACCAGGCCTCTATACTAATAAAATGTTAATATGCTAATTAGACCAGGAGACCTTCCGGACGTCCTTCCGCACAAAGCCATGGTGGCGGGGCTGAGGCAGAGGCAGTTAGGGGCGATCAGGCCAGGAGAAGAGGGCAGTTGGGGGTGA